GGGAGGTATAACGAAAGGTACAGGGACATAATTACGGAGGGGCTGCCTAGATACTTGTTATTGGAAGGAGATGAGGAAGGGAAGAAGTTGGTGGCTAGGTTCCGTTGTGGAAACGAGGAGAGAGCTAACAGATACTGGATGGCCGATGAGGAGAGGTGGTGTAGGCTATGCAGGGAGGAATGGGAAACGTTGGAACATATGTTGAATGGGTGCAGTGAGTTGAGGGAGGAGGAGTTGGACCGAGGGCAGATCTTAGGAGAGGGGGGAGAGGGGAAACGATGGATGAGAATGGTTGTGGGGGTGAGGAGACAAAGGGATGGATGAGGGGAGGATTGGGCCGAGGAGCCGAGGGTATGGAAATGGAGGAAGAGGGTGGAGGGTGAAAATAATATACTAATGACATATATTATATTAGGATGTATTAAGGGGAAAATTGTAATTATCAAAAACAATAAATGCTTATTATTATTATTAATTAATACTATCTTCAAAATATTTGATTAATTGATTTTTTAATAGTTTTTCCAAAAATTTTGATAGTACAGATAATATACTAATTGGTCTGTAGTTCGAAGCCTCATTAATATCACCTTTCTTGAATAACGGTATGACATTTGCAATCTTAAACTCGTCAGGAAAGTAGCCAGCGGATAGTCAATACTGGAATCAGACAATTTTTAACTTTTTTTAACATTATTGAATTTAGACCAAAGAAATCAGTACTTTTTCCAAATTTGAGGGCATCGAAGGCGTCCCAAACCTCCACTTGAGAAAAAGGTTGAAATGTAAAATAATTATTATTAACACAATTAACATGTTCAATAAATAATGACAAAGGATCAGCACCACCACTTATATTTTTAGCTAATTTACCAGGGATATTCAAAAAGAAATTATTAAGTTGATTGGCATCTAAATTACTATCCATTTCGTTGACTCTTTGAGAGGCTTTATTAGTATTGATTATTTTCCAAATAGCAGAAGACTGATTTTTGTGATTCAAAATAAATTTGTCAGTAGCATTTTTTTTAGCTTGACTAACTGCTAACTTGTAAGATTTACGACATTTGTTTCGGTCAGTAAGTGTGTACGAATTTTTATTGAATCTGTATAGATCACAAAGAAAACCAAGTTTTAGCTAAGTTAAGAGGCAAAACATAATTTTTATATTTAACTTGTTGAGTTCTTACATGTATGTACGTACATAATTATAATCCAATTGAAACCAATTAAGTTACCAAATCATGCCAGACTAGTTCTGATACAGTCGAAGAATAATAATAATAATAATAATAGCGTTTATTCTCCATAAATATACATATGATACGATAAATAAAAATATATATATAAAAACACTTGGGGAACCTCAGGGTCCAGCTGAGCTGAGTGTATACACACAAATTATATACAAAAAACTTAAAATGAAACTTCTGCCTATAACGGAATATATGTCCGCAAACAAAATAATAAAAGAAATTCGCCAAAAAATTACAAAAGAAAGCCTATTTTAAGTATACATTAATCCACTCGCCGAAGAAGCAATCGCTACAACCCAAGCCCAATCATTGCTTCTTAAAAAGCATTTCAAAAACTGCACATTTGTACGCCGCCACGCTTTTTGATTTAAATACCACCGGAAGAGGGTTATAATAGGCATAAATGTTGTAGCTAAACGATCTTTCAAGTAAAGAGGTCCTATCAGCAGAAGAGGCAATCAAATTCCTATTTCTAATATTGATGGAATGAATATCACCCCTAAATCTTACTTTCCTTAAAAGATAATAAGGCGCCCCCGATAGCAGTATTTGATGAAAGAGAGTCAAGGAGCACAGAGCACATCGGTTCCCCATATTCAACTAATTTAAATCCTTCACTTTGTGCGAAATTCTATCAAACTTTCGGATGCCATGTATATATCTCCT